AGCCACAGCCCCCCGGTCCCTCGCCCAGCCCCACACTCACCCTAAAAATGAAAGTTGTCTCCATCACGAGCTGCTTTGCAACACATTTTTCATTAAAACAAACTATGTCTTCACGTAAAAACCACAATGAACATCTTTCTCCTCCTGATCATTGAAGGCCAATTAATTAATTGGGCTTAATTGTATATTACATTTCAAACAATACTGTTGCACTTATTTATCATGTTAATTGCAACGTTAAATAAAAAGACAATAAATTATTACTTAAATCATCAAGATGCCTAACGTGGGACTTGGGACGGGGCAGGCCTGCCTCGCGCCTCCGCACTGGCTGATTGTGCGGGATAAATCAGCGCTCGTTCCGCCAAAACGCAGCTGACACGAGAGCATCGCCGCTGAACGAGCCAGCTACCTAGTTACGGATCACGGAAATCTTCCCCTTGTGTTTCCAGGTGTTCGTAGCACGCAGCTGATGGTCCACACCTAATCAAACGGCACAAACCAGAAAACGTTGAAAATCAATGGGGCACAACTACGGTACGTGACCTAAAGCTAAGAATTTTACCTCTATAAACTATTTAATTAAGCTGGCACCTTTTTTTTCTTGCTTCCCATATGAAGCCAAGGGGTAAGCCTGCACATCCACAGCTCTCCCTGTCAATCTGCTTCCAGAAACAAACAGACACGGACCCAGAGGCAGCGGGGGCAGGAGGGGTGTTGAAAACCAGCTTCTCGAGCCTTTCTTTAAAAGAACTTTAAACGCATTCTCTTGTCAAGCACATCCTTCTTTTGTTTGAAGCAGTGAAAAATTTTATTGCCGTAATCCACTGACACGCTTTCAGCAGCGGCTATGCCCTCTCCACAGCCCACATGATAGACTGATAGTTGTTCATGACACCCTGAAAGAGGCTCATCTGCAAAAGTATAAAACATCAGCCTCGCAGCCACGGCGAGGGGAGAACAGATGATACAGTTTATCTCCCTCGAACACGTGCTGATCGGGTAGCTCTAAATTACAGCCGACGATGTTCTCCGTTAAGGACATTTTTTTCCCTAGAATTACCTTTTCCATACTCTTAAAAATGAAATTGTGCGAGGTGTTCATCTTAATAAATAGTTTGTCTTTATGCTTTTCTTGAAAAACCTTCTCTACGTATTATTTTAAACACCGATATCAAAACTGAAACCATCTATCTCCCATCTGCAACTAAATGATTCCGGGAGACAATTTTCTTTGCAGCTCAGTAAAGTGCTATGGCAGCAAGATTTCCAGTGAGCTGCTTAATGTGGGGGGAGGACGACCCAAAACACTCACTAATTGAGTGTTTGAGGGAGAAAATGTTCTGCCATGAATCTGCCCCCAGCATTTACAAGGCACTGACAGTACAAGAAAGAAACAACTTGGATCATCGTTCCGAGAGGCTGCAGGGGAAGCCTGGCTCAGCCAGAAAAAAGGACAAAGCCTCTTCATCAAACATGAACCACAACTCCAGAAGTTTGGAAAGCCATCCGTTAACTTTTTGGGGTTTTTTTTTGTTTTGTTTTCCAGCTCTTTGCTGGGGTGTTTGTAGCACAGGAGGTGAACAGGGCACAGTGACATCTGACTCCTGGTCGAGGCCAGAAACACGGGCACTCAGAGATTTTTCATAAACGTCCCGTGCCAGGTGCAGCTCAGTCCCTCGCCTGGAAGCCATCACTCACCCCAGGCGATGCTGCTCCCGCCAGCCTTTTACAAGGCTGCTCAATTCTCCCCTGATTTCTGGATTGCATCCTCCGACTCCTGCTGCCAGCCACCCCAGCACCGCGTGCCGGGCTGTCGTACGCTGCTTGCTCAGAGCTCTTCTGCTAGATGGCCTCAAAAATATATTCATTTTTCAGTACAAAGACAACTCCAGCCCAGTTTGACCTAGTAAATACCAACTAACCCTGCAGCCTTGCCTGCGGCCTTTGGAAGTGCCTCTGAAGATCAAAGATTGGGATACCCACAGCATTCACATTTTCTGGCTGTGACAGCAGATCTATCAGGAGCTTAAGCAGGCAGCAGATCCCAGGCACTCCCTCTCTCACGTACGTGCTCCTCTCCCATTAGATGATACATTGCCCCGTTTCCAGGCGTTCCCATCATCTGGAGCTTTCCCTCGCCATTTATAATATCTTGCCAGAGTGAAGCTCTGGCCACGGCCCCAAACCTGTGTCTCTGGCAGCTGGTGCCCAGGTCGGGTGGTCAGTGCTGCCCCTGCTCCAGGCTGGAAAACGCCACCCTGCAAAGCTCAGGATGCCGTACGCGGCGCCGCAGGGGACGCGATGCAGTGACTCCCACTGCTCACCCAGACTTCCTAAAGGATTCAGGAAACAACTAGTTCATGCTCGTATCAAATATTAAAGAGATAAACCTATATTCATGTCACAGGCTTGCTGCTGCTGCTGCTGCTACATTTTTGGGCCATCTGCCTGCCTTCTAGTTCATTCTACAACATATACATTAAATCTTATCAAACAACCAATTAAGAAAGAAATCAGATCTATTAGCACTAGAAGCAATCAGTTATGGCTTCTCAAACGTTCCATCTCATTTCCTCCAGTCACTTCGGCCTTATCTAGACCAGGCTTTTTATCTGTCCACTCTGCAGGATCACCAACTCCTCTGCCAGGCACAACTCCCCATCCGCTGGGTGGACAGAAAACGTCTCTGCAGCAGATCTGTTGTGCTCTGAACCATGTAATCTCTCCCAGGTACATTTTGCCAGCAGAGCTGAAGAACTTTAGGTTTCTCCAAGTTGGCGTTGATGGTGTTGCCTCTCTGAACCACCAGCAGCTGCCTCGGCTCACGTGCAAGACTTTTGGACACCACTTACAGGAGGAATTGCTAAGAACCATCTCTTGCCAAGAGGACTGAAACTGGGAACAAGAGGTAGGGCTGCAGACCAAAGCGTCCAAGTATTCATGTGCTCTTGGGCTGTTTGGCTGGTTC